AAGAACCAGATCTCTTGTTGCAAATCCACTGTGTGTGCAGGCAGAGTTCAAATGTTAGGTCTTTCCCTTTTTGTGCTGAAACCCTTGTTTTATCTAAGTCATAGAAAGTTAGCCTCTCTTGAATAGGAGCAACAGAATAGAGAAGATTTTAGTCTCCTACCCAGATCTCAGAGATGGAGCAAGTAGCTCAAGGTAGAAGCATTCTGACCTGAGGCCCATCTTCAGCATAGGTCAGTGGCAGAGAGGCTCCTTAGTAAGCTAAAATGACTCCCAAGTAGAATAATAAAAATAATAATAGCTAACTCACACTTAGATAGTACTCATCATACTGCCAAGCATTATCTAAGATATAGACAGATAAAGATACAGATAACTTATTTAATCCTTCAGTAATCCTTAGAAGTAAAAGCAATTACTAATTCTCATTTTGTGCTGGGCTCAGCCTTTCAGTAATAATGCTAGAAAATGCCTGGGGGTCCTCACCTGGGCCCCATGAGCTTCCCACAGACATCTCTCCTTTCCAAATCAGTATTATGAGTGGACTGACCATTGTGGTTCTTACTATGATTGAAAGACATCCTTCAGCAACAGTCATCAGGAAATCATGGGGAAAAAAAGGGGTTATTACCTGCAAGACCTGGAAATTGCACAGCGCACCTGGGGGCCACACAGCAAGGTTAAGAGGAGAGAGAGAGAGAGCGCGCGTGAGATTGAGCGAGCGAGCGCTCCTGGCTGGGGGGTTTCTGTTTTTCTTGGAGTTGGGTGTAGTGCTAGGGTTTCCACTTACTCTTTATTGGTGAATTTAAAACATAAGAGCAGGAATTGAAAGCACAAGGAAGAGAGAAGGCAAGTGACCCAAATGGTCAGTTATAAAAATCAGGCAAAATCTTTCAAACAGAGGAGTGTCATTAGTGTTGATGGCCTGGCTCTTTATCTAGTGGCTAGTTACTTTGTTTATTAGTAATAACAAATTTATTTGTCTCTAATGACAGCCTGTTTGAAATGGATGCCTGGGCTATTGAAGCTTAAGTTAGGCACTTGGGTTACAAAAAAGAAAAAAAGAATAGCTGTCAGGGTTTTATAGTACAATCCTCTTTTAACAAAGAAAATGGAAGCTTAGAGAAGTTAGGTAACTTCTGTAAGGTCATATAGATGCTAAGTTAACAGGGCTGGGATTTTGAATCCAGATAGTCTGATTCCAGAATCCATGCTCTTAACTATTATTACTCTGTGCCATCTCTTAGTGGAGCCCTATACTTTCTCAAACAGGGTCATCTGAACCACAGAACACAGAAAGTGATTTAAGTGACTGCTTCCTTAATTCTCTCTAGGATGGTTAACATAACTAGTGCTATGCATAGGAGAGGAGTTAATTCATTATGAATTGTTGATGTCTTAGAATATTAGGACTTAAAATTCTTTATTTTTATTTTTTTATTATTAAGGTATCATTGATATACAACCTTATGAAGGTTTCACATGAGCAACATTGTGGTTACTACATCCACCCATATTACCAAGTCCTCCCACACACCCATTGCAGTCACTGTCCGTCACTGTAGTAAGGTGCTGTGGAGTCACTACTTGTCTTCTCTGTGCTATACTGCCTTCCCCTTGCCCCCCCTCCCCACATTATGTGTGTTAATCATAATGTAGGGCTTAAAATTCTTGAGGAAGCCTGATTAAGAAAGACTAAAGGGGCTGTAGTTTACAAATATATTAACTTTCCTGGAATTAATTTCCCATTCGTTTGTTTCTGAACCAGTTTTAGACTCTGAACAAAGGATCATATCTCATCCATCCTTTGCTCTAGAGATAGAGCCTTTCTTTGTCAGCAGTAATGTCTTACGTTAACATTTAGGAAGAGCAGCAGGTTGGGATATGATAGTGGTCACTAAATTTTGCCAAACTGAGGTTACTTTCTTTCAGCCAATCAACTGGTCAGACCATCATTATTTGTAGAAGCAGTCACTGATTCTTTTCAAACTTTCCTTACTCTTTGTTTCTCCATATTCCCCCATTTCAAAGTCCCATACGTCGCTGGCAGATAGCCAGTTGTCCTCCGAGAGTGTTTAACTATGGATATAGATGTTTCCTTTTGGTCTGGTTTAAGAGGTCACTGATAGACATGCTACTGTCAGCAACAAATTATGGAAGGTTCTGCCCTGCCTTTACCTGATCTTATAATAGACTTGGGAAAAATTTATAGGTTAATCCCAGATTATAATTAGAATTTCTAATTAGAATAATAAAATTATATATTATAAAGATAAAATTAAAACATTAAAATAACTGAGTAATTATAATAGATTTCCTCCCAACTCTTACCTTATTAAATAATTCTAACTATGTATTGCTAGTATTACCTCCTCCACATCATATGGAATCCTTTATAGGGAATTAATAGTATGTTACACAATAAGATTGTTCTTGAGCTGCTGAAGGGATAGATGTTCAATGTGTGTGAGGGAGGGATGATGCTAGTTGGAGAGTAGAATGAGGGAGAGTTCTGACTTAAAATCAGCAGATGAGGTTTAGTCTGATTTTGCTCTAACCAGTTAGATTACCTCAAGAAAAGTTTCCAACTTTTCAAGGTGGTCGCTTATCTGCTTTAAAAAGGGGATTTAGTAATGTTTTCCCTCAATAAGATCTACCTATGTCACATGATTCATTCATTCATTAAAACTAGTTATTGGTTGCCCTCTAAATGCCAGTACTCTTCTAGGTGCTAAGAGGAGCAGGGAGCAGGGAATTAAAGGACAAAAATTTTTATGCAAAATTATACAAAAAATACTTATATTCTAGGGAGTGTAGTCAGAAAACAAGCAAAATACATGGTATGACAGATAAAATAAGTGCTACAGGGAAAAATAAAACAGGTATGGGTGGGAGGTTTGGGGGCCATGAGGGTGGAGCTTACAGTTTAAAATAGGGTGATCAGGAAATATTATGTTGAGAAGGTAATAATTTGGATAAAAACCTGAAGGGAATGAATGACTGAGCTGCTGATAGGTCAAGTAAGATGAGGACGAAAATTAACCATTCCAAGTTGATGAGGCCTCTGATTCTTTTTTTTTCTTTTAGGTGAGTCAGCTTTGGTGTCCTTTTTTTTTGTTGAAGCATTGTTGATATACAATCCTATATTGGTTTCAAGTATACAACACAGTGGTTCATCAATTGCCCATATTATTAAATCCTCACCCCTATTACTACAGTTACAATCTGTCAACATAGAAAGATGTTACAGAATCATTACCTGTATTCTCCATTCTGTACTACTATCTCCATGACCAGCTTACATTACAATTGAGAATTTTTGTGCCCCTTTATCCCACTCACCTCACCCACCCACCCACCTCAAGTCCTCCCCCATGATAACCACCACTCACTTCTCAGTGTCTATGAGTCTACTGCTATTTTGTTCACTTTGTTTTGTTTTGTTTTGTTTTTATATTCCATAAAAAAGTGATATCATATGGTGTTTGTCTTTCTCTGCCTGGCTTAGTTCACTTAGCATAATACCCTCTAGGTCCATCCATGTTCTTGCAAATGGCAGGATTTTTTAAATAACTGAATAATATTCCAATGTGTATATGTACCACAATTCATCCATCCATCTTTTGATGGACACTTAGGTTGCTTCCATAACTTGGTGTATAATTATATTCCACTTAGGTTGCTTCCATAGCTATTGTAAGTAATGCAGTGATAAACATAGGGGTATGTATATATCTTTTTGAATCAGGGATATTGTGTTTTTTTTGGATAAATTCCTAGAAGTGGAATTATTGGGTTGTATGGTAATTTTATTTTTAGTTTTTCTGAGAAACCTCCATACTGCTTTTCACCATGGCTGCACCAGTTTACATTCCTACCAACAGTGTAGGAGTGTTCCCTTCTCTCCATATCCTCGCCAACACTTGTGTTTTCTTGTCTTTTGGATAGTGGGTGCCTCCTATTATTAGATCACTATTTCTTTTTTTTTATTAAAATATCATTGATAGACAATCTTATATTGGTTTCAGATGTACAACACTGTGGTTCAGCAGTTACCATATTATTAAATCCTCACCCCTTCTAGTGTGGCTACTATTTGTCAATGTAGAAAGATGTTACAGAATCATTGACTATATTCTCCATGCTGTACTACCGTCTCCATAAGCAACTTATATTATGATTGTAAATTATTGTGCCCCTTTTTCGATCACAATTTCTTAGGTTGATAAAATGGTCACATTTCTGGGCTCATTATAACAAGTCTAAAAAAAAAACCTTGGGATCTTTTTTAAATGACGAGAATACTAATAAGAATTTCAAGTGAGTAACATTCTTTTGTGTGTTGATATGTAACTTGTTATGAGTGAGTTGTTTATCTTTGTGGTTTGGTGAGGATTTGGGCTTTGGGATGTCAAGGAGCACATTCCAGTGTCTGTGTGAAAGGTCCAGTACCACTTGAGGAGGACTCATCAGACCAGGTGCCATTTGTTGTCCCTCTTTGTTTCCACTCTTTGGATATCAAACTCATCTTTGTTTCAGATGTAGGCAAAGATGGAGAAGATAGATACCCTTGTTATACCAAAATAACTAGAAGAAGATGTTTACCAAAGGTAGTACTCACAAAAGACCTAGAAAAACTAAATGCAGTTAGACTAAAATTAGCTAGTCTGACTGTATTAATTGCTGATGAGGATATGGGGAAATTTATTTCATGCACTGGTGGAAGTTTAAGTTGGCAGAGTATCTTTACAATAGCAAAAAACTGGAGATTACCAAAATGTCTGACAATAAATAAATAAATAAAATGATGTAATATAGGCATCCAATAAAATACTATACAGCAGGGAAAAGTGGTGAACTAGGTATGTGTATGGATATGTGTATATATATCTCTTGTTGTTATGGGTAATCTCAAAAGCAATGCTGAAGTACGTTTGGTTCCATAGCTACAAGCGTGGAGATGCTAGCTTGACAGACTGATGTGCAGAAGCTTAATAACAACAATGTATTTTTTCTCTGGTCTAACCTCTTCCCTACAGGGCATCTTCAACCAGTTTCAGTGTAGTAGTGAGAAAGTGCTTCCATCTGACACTCTCCGCAGTGCCCTGGCAAAGACTTTCCAGGATGAACAGCGTTTCCAGCTGGGAATTATGGATGATGCTGCAGAGTGCTTTGTAAGTGTTGGCCTCTAGCCTTTTTTGATATGGTGTGAAGCTGTTGATGATCTCTGTCAGGGACTGGCTACTTTACTGGTATTTGCTGAGCCCCTGGTCTTTATGGTTAGAACTAGGAATTTCCCTAGTTTCTCAAAGCTCTAGGGTGTCTCCACTAATGCAGTATACATTGCCTAGTGGGTTTATTCGTTTTCCTTCAGGCTTTGGGTAAGTTTTGTGCTTGCCATTGCATTAAACAGTGGCTTTTGTCTCAAAAGAGACAAGGCTCATTAAAGTACAACTTGCTCTGGCCCCTCCCCTTGTTTCTGATTTAATGGGTCTGGAGTGGGTGGCTAGAATATCTAATGCCAGCGTGTTCCCAGGTGGCGCTAATGCCGATGTTGCTTGTCTGAAGACCACAGTTTGAAAACTCCTGCATTCCTGTAGATAATTAAATAGAGAATTAAACTAAGTTCCTAGCACAAATGTGATTATATAGCTATGTTGCTCCCAGTGATTTTCAGTAGAAGACCCTAACTCTTTTCAACTCTGGGTTCTACCCCTTAACCTTCAAGAGTCTGTGCTTCCATTTAAAAAATCTGAAAGTGATACATGTCCTATTACAGGGTAAAATGTAGGCCAAAATTGGAGGTATTCTGAGAAACTGGATCACTTATATATTGCTGGCTACTCAGGAAAGAACTTGGTCAGTTTCTTTAAAAACTAAACTTGCAAACTGCCATATGCTTCAGTAGCTGTATTCCTGGACCCATACCCCAGGGAAATGAAAATTTGTGTTCATACAAAAACCTGCACATGAATATTTATAGAAGCTTTATTCATAATAGCCAAAAACTGGAAACAACTTAAATTCCTTTAATGGGTAAGTGGTGAAACAAACTGTAGTACCTCCATACCATGGAATACTATGCAACAATACAAAGGAATGAACTATTGATTTATGCATCAACTTGAATGGATATAAGGAAATTATGCTGAGTGAAAAACATACAATCATAAAGTTATATACTACATGATCCCATGTACAACATTCTTGAAACAAAATTATAGAGGTAGGAGAACAGGTTAGTGGTCACTTGGGTTTAAGATTAGAACTGGGAAGGTAAGGCTGTAAAGAGATAGTATGAGGGAGCCTTGTGGTGATAGAAAAGTTTTATATCTTGGTTGTGGTAGGATTACATGACTCTATACATGTGATAAAATTGCATAGAGCTACAAACAAACATGAATAAGTATATGCAAAACTGCTAAAATCTGAATAATCTCTAGATTGTATTGACATCCATTTCCTGTTTTGGATATTGTACTATAGCTATGTAAGATGTTACCTTTGGAGGAAAGTGGATAATGGGTACATGGACCTCTTGTAGAATTTTTGGAAACTTCCTCTGAATTTTTAATTATGTCAAACTAAACAGTTAAAAAAAATCAGAGGTATTCATACCTTGCAGGAGAATTGCTGTTTCTCTGAGTAAACTACCTACCAATTTGTACATTTGTCTGTTAAGTATTGTTGATATATTGCTTTGTTCTTCCCCTATTAGGAAAATCTCCTGATGAGAATTCATTTCCACATTGCTGATGAAACCAAAGAGGATATATGTACTGCCCAACACTGCATCTCCCACCAGAAATTTGCAATGACATTGTTTGAGCAGGTGAACCTTATATCATCACTTTGTTGTCTTCTTCAAGAACACTTTATTCTGGGATAGGGTATCAAATGGATGCAAAAACAGTTAATAACTATGACTTCTTGGTTTTGCTTTTTCCTCCCCTGGCCCAGTGTGTATGTACTAGCTGTGGTGCCACTTCTGATCCATTGCCTTTCATCCAGATGGTGCATTACATCTCCACCACTTCCCTTTGGTGAGTCTTTAAAGAGTTCTCTTTTGTACCCTTTGGCCCTCCTTCAGCTGATGGGATTTTTTTTTAAATTTTGGTATCATTAATGTACAATTACATGAGCAACATTATGGTTACTAGACTCCCCCCATTATCAAGTCCCTACCACATACCCCATTACAGTTACTGTCCAGTTGATGGGATTTTAACTGAAGGCATCAAACAGCTAGTATCCTTACTGCTGAGTTTATGCTATGTTATGGGATCTTAGAATAGTAATTTAAAAATAACCTTTGTTCTCCTTTCCTCTCCCATCCCTCCCCTCTTCTTAGGCTCAGTTCTGGTCAGCAAAGTAGGAAGAGAAATGGGTATTCTATGAGGTTTGGATTTTGGGACAGGCAGAGGTACTCACTGTGTTTGTGGGACACCGAGGTTCATCAGGACAAGGGGCTTTGGTTTAGTGGGCAGAGAAAAAGGTCAAACATGTAACTTAGGAGTTTGCATGAATGATTGATTTTATTTAACTGTAACTCTGTACAACTCCCACCGTCATACCATTCCATTCCCCATCCTGAAGCAATCAGGCTATTTGTATGTTGGAAAGACGAGAAAAACCTTCACCAAGCATGTTTGGTGAGCTGCTGCAGAATGCCAGTACCATGGGGGATCTGCGGAACTGTCCGGTGAGTTAAATCGGGTAGGGTTTGGAGTGAGAAGAGAAACTCTGGGATTAGTGGAATTGAGGCAAAGCCACTGGGAAACATGTCAAATTAGCTTTATGTATTTATTTCAGAGCAACTGTGGAGAGAGGATTCGGATTCGCCGTGTGTTAATGAATGCTCCACAGATTATCACAATTGGGCTAGTATGGGACTCGGACCACTCAGACTTGGCAGAAGATGTCATTCACAGCCTAGGCACCTGCCTTAAACTGGGTGATGTGAGTGTTAGTTACCTTTATCTCTAATTTAGAGTTCTTTGTACCTGCTAAGACTGTTCACAGTATTACTCAAGGGCAGTGAACACTGAGCACAAAGGTATACCATAGATGACAAATATTATAGGGTTTTGGACAAATATATACTGGTGTCTATACCCTGCATATATATACATGGTAGCAAAAGTTTTTTAGAAGAGATGGGATGACCTTGGCCTTGAAAGACAGGTTGGACAGAGCTTAGCTATTGATAAAAATGAAGCAATTTATAGAGTTATTGTGTGCTCTACTTATTGTTAGTTTATACCAGTATAGAGTAGGGAGGTGTATTCAACTACAGATGGTAGTAAGGTCAAAGAAGTTAACAATCCTGACTAGAGCTGCTGTGGGAGGTGAAGGAGGTAAAACTTGATGACCTGAGTCCCAGAATACAAAATTCACTGTGAGGAGCCAATGTCTGTTGAGAAGGTAATGAAGTAGCTTGGAAGAGAACTTAGTGGTTTAGTAGTTTTCTGTGTATCTATTCAGGGAAATAGACAAGAAAAATTACCTAAACCCTGGGGACTTTACCTTATCAGCTCCATACCCTAGTGTAGGTACAGCCAGGGTTTTCCTTCGGTTCAAGAAAGAAACAGAAACTCTGTGATTTCCTTTCTACTTGTTTCTCTCTGGGAGCAGCCTGTGACTAAGGAGATCTGTTTTGTTGTGTTTTAATGTCATTAAGCCACTACTGAGAAACTGGGGTCTTATTTTAAGTCTCTTTCCCAAGGAATCTCTGACATGAGTAGACTACACACAATAAATCTTTTCCTAAATTTCTGTAGCTTACATATTCTGTACTGCTATAGTTTTTTATTTTTATGATTGTTTTCTCAACCAAGTAAATTCCTCAAGGCAAGAATCCACTTCTTCAAAATTTCTTGTGTATCTCTTGGCACATAGGACAGTGCTGGACATATAGGAATTGAAATGCTGGTAGTGAACATGGTTGTATTGCTCCTCCTACGGACTTTCTTAACCCCTACTTAGGGTCTCAGAGGAAATTTATGTTTGTGGTACCAGCTGCTAATTAAATTTTGAAACTTGAGAGTGTTTTGTTTTTGTTCTGTGTTTTCAACTTTCCTGACTCTTCTTATGATAGACCCCAGCAAGAAAACATTATTGGAAGAGATGAAGTAACATTATAACCCTACTAGGTTATTGGCCACTATCTGTCTTGCTTTTCCTACATTTGTCTTTTTAGGCTCATTTCTGATAATTACTATGGACTAACAAAAAATTTTAGACTGAAGGGTAGAGTTGCAAGTCAGTACCTTAATTAGGAAATGATAGAGTCTGCTGAGAAATGATATGAGAGGGTTGAGTATGTAACTGTTCTTTCCCCACAGCTGTTTTTTAGAGTGACAGATGACCGGGCCAAGCAGTCTGAACTGTACTTAGTAGGAATGATCTGTTATTACGGCAAACACTATTCTACATTCTTTTTCCAAACAAAGATCCGCAAATGGATGTATTTTGATGATGCTCATGTCAAGGAGGTAGGAATATCCAAGCCCTTCCTGAAATGTTTCATGTCTGTGACAAAGAACTAAGGACAATTATTTGTCTTCAATGTTTCATTTTCATAATTTTGATGTCTGCATATTTATTGAATTTATGAGATTATCAGTTTTGTCTTCATCAATAGATGACAAGTTCCTCAAGGACAGGATCAATAGATCTTCTTTATTTTCTCTGAATCCCCTCACCAGGCATTCAGCAGAGTTCTGTATTTATAGTTGGCAAAGTATTTTTTTAAATTTTGTTAATTAGTTGATTTGAATACAAACAGTTTAATGCCTCAAATTAGGTTATAGGATAAGCACAAAGCTCAGAATTCCAAATCTTGGAATTCTCGATGGGTAATACATTTTCTCAGGGCTGCTATAAATTATTCTGTTATCTCTCTGAAGTGCCCTATCACAGATTAATGTGTTTTGGGGGTAGTGTTGGGAAAATAGAGCAGTGATGATATTGGAAACTTGGTGCTGTCTAAACCAGAGTCTGCAGCTGAAGTAGTTTAGATAATCTGCATGAGTTAGGAATCCTCTTGTGATAAGGTTAACAGCTAAGCAAACTGCAGAGTATAAACTACATCAATCCATGGACTTTAAGCAGTGTCTTCCACAAATAGTAAAGTCTGTCAAATTACCTGATTCTCTTCATCACTTTTTGCTGTTTTAATTTGGGGCAACTTATATAAATTCTTTGAGCTTTGGGTTTTTTATTTGAAAAATAATACCTGCCTGATAAGATAGTAAAAAGATTTGCATGTAAGAAGCATATACATGTGTTTTAGTTAAACTACTAACTTAGTTACAGATTTACTGAGCATCTATTATGAAATAAGCACTATGCTAGTTGTCTGACTCCCAGAGCACACCATCTCAAGAGAGTGACTGGTTCAAGTTTAAGAGATGGCAAGTCTGGGGATTTGATTGGATTGTTGTTTCCATTGCTATTCTGTCACTCTTTTCCACTGCCATGGTACACTGAATCCAGCTCAAAGCTAAGGTCGAGAGGTTGAGATGTCTATTCTAAGCAGTTTGACATTTTATGCCCTGCTATTTGTGAACTCTGAAACGGAATGTCATTTATTCTAAGGCAGTCTGTAAGAGAGTTTCTGTCTGCTCTTTAGCTTCATAAAGGTGATCTTAATTAGGAGAAAATTATAGAAAAACAAATTTCAAGTGAGGGCTTAAATTTGATGTCTTTGAAAAGCAACTGATCACCAACATATCATAGTCACTTTTGAGAACTTAATTCATATTTCACAACTGTATTGATGTTATACAGAATAAAAGTAATTTTATCCATCATTCCTGTCTCTAATAGGGTTTTAATGCTTTCTAAAAGGATTTAATGAGGAAAGAATTAACAAAACAATTCATTACTTTTTTTATGTCTAAGATCTCTTTTATTGTTTCTGTACCCAATTTTTGTCCCTTCATATTTTTTGTTTCCTTTAAAAAAAAAAACAACAGGAAGATAGGTTGTGGATATAAAGTATAATGGTCATGTTCTTCTGGTTGTTTCTGGTTCAGATTGGGCCCAAGTGGAAGGATGTGGTGACCAAATGCATCAAGGGGCATTATCAGCCTTTGTTGCTACTCTATGCAGACCCCCAGGGTACCCCGGTGTCCACTCAGGACCTGCCTCCCCAAGTTGAATTCCAGTTATACAGCAGGACATGCTATGATAGTGAAGATTCAGGTGAGCAGCCTAGCTCTTTACCTCTTCCTTCCCTACTCCAATGTACGCACTGGATAGTTGAAACTCATACTTAATAATAAGCCTAGCCTATAACCTAGCTTGGAGAAAGAGGATCCATCAGAGATAAGAAAGAAGTGCCATCTTGTGCTGAAGCCCAAATTGTGCCAGGCCTTTTTTCCTTTAGCCTTCATGAAAGTGTTGCCTAAGTCACCTGGTGCCAGTTCAAAAGTGGGAAGGAAATTATGTTGATTTAGACTGAGATATTAAGTTTATGAGAAAACTTCAGTATTTAACCTTCTAATAATGATAGTAGTTGCTTACTACTATCACAATTTAACAGTGACTTAAGTCAGTCATTAAAACCAAGAAAAATGACATGAGTTATTACAAAGCTAGTCTTTTTGTTTGGGATGAGAAACACTAAGTACAGTAGCAATATTGCTCAGTTGTTCATTTCTAATTTGGTTTTTTGGAACTCAAATCATATTTTCCTGTAGAAACAATTTGCAGCTTGATGACTAAAGTCTCAGGCTACCTACAGAGGCTCATGTTAGAAATATAACCCTATTAGTTTTAGATTTATTTCTAGAAAGAAGGAAAAAGAAATGTTCCTTTCCTCTTATAGGTCCAGAGCTGACTCAGTATGGTTTTGAAAGCGAAGACACTTTTCTTTGGGATCTTTTTCCCTCCCCGTTGTACCTCCCTCCTGCTTGGTAGAGGTGTTCTTCCTACCCTTGTGCCCCATGTGTACCTGCTTTCCTTCCTCTCTTTTCAATCAAACACCAGTTTCCACTGTTGTGCTTTACCTCAGCTAGGTATTCAGAGGAAAGTAGTCTAATTGGACTAATCCATACTAAAGTTTAAATAACAGCTCCATAATTTCTTAGATATTAAAAATGCTTATAATGTCAATTAAAAATTTTAAGTGACATTTCTAGCAGTTTAGGAGGAAAATTATAGGATAGGGGAACAACTGATTATGTATGGTAGGTTGGCCTGGGACTCTCCATCTAAGTAGATCTTACTTTTCACAACTTTTTCCTTTATTCCAGTTTTCCCCATAGGTTTTCTAAAAGCCCCACAGTTTTTCACAGTGGCAGGCAAACTGAGGGCTTCAGCAAGGTAGGGTAAGGAGTGGGAGGAATTGTTTGTGTGTCTGGCTTATTTGGAAGTTGGGTGTTGGGAAGAATGGCTCTGGTATATCCTTCTTACCCTTCCATCTAGGAGGTTCTTGCCTTATGGACCGTTGTTGCCATTCACCTCTTTGCCTTCTCTCTGTCACTGTCCTCTCTTTCCTCACTTTTGCATATGTCTCCTCCTTCCTTCAGGGAGGGAGCCTTCCATCTCAAGTGATACTCGAACAGATTCCTCAACGGAGAGCTATCCCTACAAACACTCCCACCATGAGTCTGTGGTCAGTCACTTCTCTTCTGATTCTCAGGGGACAGTCATCTATAATGTGGAGAATGATTCCATGTCTCAGAGCAGTCGAGACACAGGTAGGGACTTACACAGTGGACCCTGCTTGCCTGATTCAGTTTCTGCATGAGAGTCTTCCAAGAAAAAGAAACTGGGGCAGGTTTGAAATGTTTGTCATGCAAAAGGGGAAAGACACAGAACTTCGGTAATTGAGTGGGATAAAAAAAAGCAGCACAATTCTGAGTGAACAATGATGTTCCATTGTATATATGCCCATCAACAGCAACATATCAATAAGGACCACTGTAATGTGATTATTGATGTGATTATTTATTCTGAAATCTGCTTTTTTCTTGCTCTGCTTTTGATCCCTGTCCTTCTCTTAGTGCCCCCATTGAACCCTTGTGATCTTGTATTTTATCATGTTCTCATGCCATGCTTTGTCCCCAGTGAAGGGCTTTGAGAGAAGGTGCATATTTTTTGGGTAAGGGATACCTGATCATCACCTTGCTTGGTTTCCTGATGAAATGCTAGCCTGTTTGTTATTACGAGTTCCATGCAGAGAACATTCTTGAAATCTGTTAATTTATAGAAGAGTGTACCTGTGTTAGTGGAAGAAATCAATACAGGGCATAAATGGAAGAATGGTGAGTGAGTGACTGTGAGGGAACAGTGAGATGAAAAGTTCACCACTTAATGCCTAGAACAGTACCCATACTCTTAGACACTTGGGGGTTAGTGAGCTCATGGCTTCAGGTTCATGGTTTATACTCTGCATGACCTTTTTTTTTAACAGAGAATTTCAAACATTCAAAAGTATATGGAATAGTATATTGCCCCTCCATGTATCCGTCACCTGGCTTAAGTGATCATAACTCATGGCAAATCTAATTTTATTTGTACCTCTACCCACCTCCCCCACTGCTGGATTATTTTGAAGCAAATCCCAGACATATATCACCTTTTATATTTTAGTATGTATCTCTAAAACATAAATCATTTTAAACCACATTTATATTATTATCACACTTAGCATATTAACAATAATTTATCAAAACCACTAAATAACCAGTGAGTGTTCTAATATCCAGTTGTCATAGAAATGTTATAAATTTTAACTGGTTTGCATGTTTGACTTGGAAACTAAATAGGGTTCTACATATTGAGATGGGTTGGTAAGTCTTTTACATTTCTTTTAATCTATGGGCTTGTCGTCTATTTTTTCCTTGTAATTTATTGTTGAAGAACTATGTAGTTTGTCCTGTAGATTCCCCACATTCTAAATTTTGCTGATTGTATTTCTATGGTAAACTTTAGCATGTTTTTGTGTCCTTTGTATTTCTTGTAAATTGGTAGTTAGATCTAGAGGTTTGGTCAGATCTGTATTGGGTTTCTTGTGATCACTATCACATAAATGACTGTTGCAAAGTGTGGTTTTTTTTTTTAGACCGTATTTCTGAAACTGAACCAGGGAGAAGCCAAATCACAGGATAAACAAGACATATTCTCCAGGAGAGTCAGATTTATGTTAAGGGTTTGTGAATGGCTAGGGATTGGGGAGCAGACACCCACTGTTTTAACATATATAGATTTGTTACTTCAGGTGATTTCCTTTTAAATCTTTCTAATGGGCTCAGATGTAACAGGATCAGATAAAAACAATAAAAGATAGCATTGGTTGATTGAGAAGATGGATGATTGATTGAAAATATGTAGCCATAGCACTACACTGCTGAGACTTGAATACTAGAAGGATTTTTATATATTAACATATGAAAACAAATTCTAATAGGTCTCAGTACATTAGAGAGCCTAGGGGATTTTCTCTAAGCCTGTCTTTCAATTTAATTCAGTTGATTAATTCACCTCTGGCTTCCAGGAGCTTAGATGATTATATCCTTTAGAATCTGGTTTGTCAGCAATTAGTATTGAGTAACTGAAGTGTAATCTGTGGGTGAAGGCCAAGTTTAGGAAAGCATGGATTGAGGATGGGAATGAAGATTATTCAAAGTTCAAATGTCCTTTTAAATGATTCACAGTTAAGGAAGGTTTAGAAAGAACTGGGTCTCAAAGCCATATACAATCACTCGGAGCTCTTATGGGCAAAGGTTGGGGCCCCAAATGTAATAAAAATTAGGCTTTAGTTTGTATATGTTGCTAAATAAATAAAAAGAAAGCTCTGTCTTGTATTTATGAGAGTGAAAACATAGTGGCACATGACATTTTTATACAGTCTTTAAAACTTCACCTTTTAAAAATTACCAAGTAGTGTGTCTTTCTGGGTTGCTGGGAAAGATTATGAAGGGGACTGAGAATCATAATTGCTCAGGAGACATAAATTTGAAAGCCTCCATTAAGTATTTAAACTTATCTGCATTTATCTATTGAGAGATGCCTGCTTCACTTAAATAGCCTCAGTCCCTACAGCTTCTGATCTGTGGGTACACTAAATTTGTGGCACTGCCATGAATCCTGAAAGGAGACTATGTTCTCAAGAGAATGGAGGTTGGTTTCAGATATCAGCTTACCCCCATTTTCTTGTTCTTTCAGGACACCTGACTGATAGTGAATGTAATCAGAAACTCACATCCAAGAAAGGGTCACTGATAGAGCGCAGGAGGAGCTCTGGCCGGGTTAGGAGGAAAGGCGATGAGCCACAGGCTTCAGGGTACCACAGTGAAGGCAAGGCACTCTGAATTGCTTCTCTTTCTCATTCACTCTGTCAAACTTCTGTCACACTCCAGACTATGGCTTCTCCTTTCTGCTCATACTTTTGCAGGCTGGGGATCCATGATCACTTTAGACATTTATATTTGTTTCATTCTTTGTGTTTTTAGGAGAAACACTGAAGGAGAAGCAGGCTCCTAGGAATACCTCTAAGCTATCCAGCAGTACCAACAGGCTAAGGGATTTTAAAGAGACAGTCAGTAATATCATCCATAACAGACCATCCTCCCTGGCTTCTCAGACCAACCTAGGATCTCCCTGCAAGGGGAGAGGAGACCAGACTGACAAAAAACCTCCTAGGAACCTGCCTTTACACTCTCCTGACTGGGAAGTAGACAGTACCAGCAGTGAGTCAAAATCCAGTTCTTCTAGCAAGTATCGTCCAACATGGAGACCCAAACGGGAGTCTTTGAATATTGACAGTATCTTTACTAAGGACAAAAGGAAGCACTCTGGCTATACCCAGCTTAGCCCCTTTTCTGAGGATTCAGGTGAGGTGATAATTAGGGAAGAATTGGGCTTTTAAATGAAGTTGGTTTGTTTAAAGTCCTGGGTTTTCTGGTGGACTTGGCAAGGTGTAGTTTTATGTTGATGGGCCTTTTGGAGATATGGGTTCAGTGAATGCCTAGCTGGAGGGAAGGGCTATGTCTTGCTTTAACTATTGCTAAATCAAGCTAACAGATGCTAAATCTATTTGCTTTTCCATACTTGTCCTTTGGTTGCGATAGCTAAAGAATTTACACCAGATGAAGTTAGCAAGCCACCTGTTTACAACATTAAAACTGGTGGAACAAACCCACAGTACAAGCCCTGGGGCCCACCACGCCCAGGCTCTCACCTCTTAGAGCAGCACCCTCGGCTAATCCAGCGAATGGAATCTGGCTATGAGAGCAGTGAGAGGAACAGCAGCAGCCCTGTCAGCTTGGATGCCCCCCTGCCCGAGAGCTCAACTATCTGCAGGTATCGTCTGGCCTTGGAATAGTGGCATTGTCCCTTGCAGCAATGTGAGCCAAGAGACTTTTGAACTCAGATAAGTGAAGATGGACTTTTATTACCATCTTGTGGGCAAGCAAAGTAGTGTGCTTTATCAGCTTCCTATGGCAACAGCACCCTCTTCTGGAAGAATGAGCAAAGGCATTTGAGAAAGAACTAAAGTAATACATAATTGTTTAGTAAGTTTTAATGAAAGAATGAGTTAGTGAATTAAAACTTATATAGTCCTATGATCAGAAATCCAAAGTGTTATTTATTCTTGCCTTTCATTTTCAGAATAGGTTCTTGTTTGTTTTTTTAGGGTCACTGGGGATTCTGTTTTATGAAGCCAATGATAGTCATAATTCCAAAAGATAACAATGACATATTTTAAATAAATAAATAGTGCTCATTCCAGCTGTCCATAGGGCCCAGGTTACTTTATAAATTTCAGATCTGAATGTTGTTTTTACTGAGTTGCCATAGAGACAATTTTCCTAACAGTGTAGCTGCTTTGAAAGGAGTGATTATATCTTCTACAAAGGTGACAACCACATCTTCATACTTTCCCATTGCTCTTCCTTGGGCACAGGACCCTGTTGAATTTTACACACGAGAAGATGCTAGAAAGGTGTAAGAAAGAGGAAGGCAATCCATATGAAGCATGTGTTTATTAATTCATTTAATAAGTTGTATGCCAGACATTGTGCTAGATGCATAAAATGTGAATGAGGTGAGATAAGCTGGGGAATGAGCAGGTATTTCAATCTTGCAGAAGTAGTTTAGCAGATACTTTAATTCTATTAGTTCGATGTCCGTTGTTTTTTTTTTTTGAGGGAACTTAGTCCTAGGAATGTTGCTAGTTATCACCCTTCTTATGCTTTTACTAGACTTTGTTTTCTCTTTTGAAGGGATACAAATGTTAAGAGATCAGCTGGGTTGGCACCTTCCTGGCGTCACATCCCGAAGTCTCACAGCAGTAGCATTCTGGAGGGGGGTGCTACAGCGCCCAGGAGTGGCTGGACGAAGGATCAGCCCCTCTCAGGTAAGCAGAAAGACACTGAATTTGGAGGACTGGATCGCCTTGCCAGTTCTATTTGGCAGATAGCTTTACCAGACCATATTTGAAGTTGGAGGACAGTTGTACTTTAAGTATTCCATTAGTAATGTCAATGTGAGGGCATTTGTGGGGGCATTTGAGTTGCTCCATCTTTGGATTTACCTGTTTTTGTTCTCTTGCCTGATTGTTTATTTCTGCCTTGGGGAGAGCCCTTGTGGGAGCAAGAAGGATCAGAAATATAAAGTATCAATAGTACCTGCATTCCTTGACAAAATAAGTTCTAAGGCTTTCCTTGGTATAGATGGATTTCTTACTGTTTAGTACTGTGGATTGAGATAACAAAGAGGGACATGTAGGCTACGTGGGAAATAAGCAAGTCAAACCTATCCTTACTCCTGCCTCCTCATCCTGTCCAGTATCCCTGTTTTGTTTTCCTGTAAGTGTGCCTTGTGTCTTTATACTCCTTCCATCTCAAAACAAGCTCTCAAGAAATGATCTGACTCCTTCATACTAAATGGGACTGAAAATACTTTAAAATACAATTAAATATAATTTCTCTAAGGGAAACTAGCATTTTAACAAAGCCTGAAAATAAAGAATACTGAAATTTCGGGTATGAGATACCAAGGGTAGAGATTTGAGGTAGCTGTTAGTTTTAGCCTCTTTTTACATTCCTCTCATAACATATTTTTACAGTGCATATTCCACTTAAGTAGAGACCCTGCCCAAATGGCTCAAAGGTGAAAACTGAGGTGAGAAATGGGCAGTCTCCCCAACATGGAGACTTTTTTTGTGATGGTTGAGGGAAGGTGGTGAGTATCCAATACAGTTTAGTTTGCTGAGTTCTGGAAGCTACTTGACTAATTTAGAGGTCAACCTTTTCTGAAAGATGTGTTTCATTTCTTTTTCTTCCTGGTCTGTTAGATCAGTTGGGCATAGCGTGTGTGGGCAGAAACCTATCTGTAGTCTGACTTAATTAGCTTCTGGATATAGATTGGTAACCAGCTTACTAGGAAGAAGAGGACAGAATTGAAGTGCCAGTCTGTAGAAATAAACCAGGTTTACTGCTCTGACCACCAATCCTCTTGCTAGCCACTGAAAATTCATAGAGGTGGCTGGAAGGGAGGTATGCAGTGGTAATAAAAAGGCATGAACTCTTAGGTATGAGTACCATAGGTTGCTGACATGTGGCACAATAGAACAATGCTTTTAGAAGCAGGTGTCTCTGAAATCCTGGGCTGAAGTAGGTTATAGTTAGTAATTCATGCTTCTGAGTGAAATTAAACATTTGGTTTATTTTTCACACTATAATTTATTTTATGTTGACTAACATTGCTTTGAGAAACTTGTGATCATACATGAGCTTATTCCCCCTTCTCTTTTCTTCAGATAGCCAATACCTTTTTAGCATACTGTGACTGAGTCTCATGATTTCTCTAATAGCCCCAATTCTGCACTAGCTGGATTCAATTTCACCAAGAGGATTCCTCAACTGAGAAAAGATACTTAGCAAGGAGTTACAACAAATCCCTTTCACACCATACTACCCCCACCATTCTCTTTGTACAGTATGCCCTACTTATGCCTCACAATTTGATCCAGGCATTTCAGTCTGGCACAGAACATTTTTATCTGGTCACCTCACTTTTTAAAAAAATTACAAAAGTAAAATAAGTCTAACAATTTAATAACCTGCCCTTTCTCTCTTTAAATTGAAGGAACTAAATGTTACTATTATGATATACTGTGTATTTTTCTATATTTTTTCCCTATGCTTATACAAGTATAGAGATAAGTTTATTACAATAATTAAAAAAGAAATAAAATGGAGTCAATTATACCTATTATTCTTTCACTTGATTTTTCACTCAGTATATCATGGACATTCTTTTAAATCTGCTTGGTTCCATCTATGAGCACTTATAAAATGGAATCTCTACTGCTATGGATATTTTACAAACTCACTTAAAGAGGGTGGAAATTAAAAGTAAGAAATTGATTTGCCTGAAGCTTCCCAGTAAATCAATGATATGTGATCGAGAAATGCTCCCTAATGGTTATGAGCAAGGCTTATCAATTTAATTTATTTGACTTTAATTCAGCTCTACCATTTACTGTATTTGTTATCTTAGGCAAGTTATTTATCATCTTTGTGACTCGGTTTCTTCATTTCTAAACCATGGGCAATAATAGTATCTACCTCATAGGTTGTTAGGAGAATTAAGTAAAATAATATATGTAAAAGTGCTTAAAACTGTACCTGTCACATAGTAAATGCTCATCAGGTGTTAGTTGTCATGTTGTTAAAATGAACGTAGTAAATAGTTGTTGTTGTTGTTATTCACAGCCCAGATCTCACCTGAATCTGATATGGAATGCACTGTGCAAAACATGAACTCCAAATTGAAGCCAAGAGTTCCAAAAGAAAAGCAGTACAGTGGCCATAAATACAGCAGGTGCTTAGTCTTGGTTATGGAAATGTGATGACTTCTCTTCTCCCTTGCTTGTATTCCAGTTGGGGAGATATCTTCCAAAAGTGAACTGGATGAATTGCAGGAAGAGGTGGCCAGGAGGGCCCAGGAACAGGAACTTCGAAGGAAACGAGAGAAGGAATTAGAGGCAGCTAAAGGGTTTAACCCTCATCCCAGCCGCTTCATGGACTTGGATGAACTGCAGAGTCAGGGTAATTATTGTGAGCATTAGATTGTGGGTGATGGGAACAGAGAGAGAGTGAAGGAAAAAAAAAATTCAGGCCTGTAAATTCCCTGGCATCTCTTTAGCAAAGTTACATTTTATCTTGATTCAGTCATTTTAGTGAGAGCTAGTTGAAGTAGGAAGAGACAAGCCTATTGATTGGAGACAGACTGATTTTAGGCCCATTTAGTAAAAGCTTATTGATAAGCGATAGTATATTGTTCATGAAAAATATTTTCCATGAACATCTATAGGAGGTGTAAATAAAACTAGTCACAGTTCAGAAACAGCAGAACAGGGAAGTGAGCAAGCCACTCTGACAGTGAGGGGAATTCTACTTGTGCGGTAGAAACATTCCCTTAAGATTTCCCACCTGGAGCATCAGGGAATCAAATAGTTCTCAAAACACAGAGCCTGATTGCCTTTTGATACTCTGATGAATTATTTTCATCTTACACAATTTCATGGATTTTACTTAAGCTTCCCCATCTGCCCCACATTAGTCACTTTTTTTTCTTCAGTTGCTTTAGGATGTCACTTTGAACCAGATGAGACTAGCCTTCAAAATAAGAGTTCAAAAGGCCAAAGTGTCTATCTTAAATAGGCCCTTGAAGCCTAGATCTTCATTTTTCTTTCTATAAAATGAGTTTATTCAGAATCCCCAGATGTAACAAATTGTGCTGAAGTAGTGTACAGAGTAGGAGGCAGTGCTATTTTGGGTGGCTGCTTTTTGTGGACCACTTCCCTCTTTTTTGTCAGTGCTTACAGAAGCTTCCTGGGCTAATTTGGAGGTCGATTTGGGGGCCAATTTTTTCTTCTAATTGTGCTGTCTTTGGATTCAAAGCAGTTGTTGGCTTATATTTTCCTAGGCATTGTATTTGTTTCCAAATTAGTTTTAAGTTCCGAATTCCTTTGCTGTCCCTACATTTGGATGTTTTTTCCTACTTTTTGTCCTCAAGTTATATCACATTGATGTCGCAGGTTTACATGACCTCTGAAAGAGGGGTCTTGTTTCCCTTCCTTACATTTCCCCACTTTGTCAGTTGTGTAGTACATTAAAGGTGAGAAGGAATCCCTTTCACTATATTTTATTGTCAGTTGTCCTTACACTTTGGTTCAGTATCTCTGCAAGAGCAGGGAAGGCAGTGCTAAGATTCTGGAGGATAGGAATTAAAACCTCATACAGCGATTGGTTAACTATAGTTTGCCTATCTCTGTAGAGAATGTTTTTGTTTTAATGGCTCTAGCCATCTCTTCTCATTATAAAGGTTGTATAGATTCAGTTGATTTCAAGTATTATTAGAAAACTAAAGACCTGGGGGTGGGGAGCCACATCTCTTAAAGGGTAAAATCTGAATGCCAGGTTCTTCAGAACCAACTTAATACTTCCAACTGCCTTCACATTAATATCCAAAAGCCATGGTGAATTAGGGAGTGAAGGTTAGGGTTATGGAAGAGCCTTTCTTACCATGTCCAGCCAGAGGTAAATGGAGGATGGGAACATTCTAAGAGAAATGACTCTGACATTCTGATTTTTTTTTTCTTGTGAGATTATGAAATTTACCCTTAATCCCAATTGTGGGTGAATTTATAGCTTACTACCAGTTTATGGTTATGAGTGAGTAAAAGGCAGGGGGGGTACATAAACTTAAGGATTCTTTTACAAAAATTGTCCTTACGGTATTTCCTCACTTTTTCATCTGGCACTGTACTTGGACTCTTCCTGCACCTGCTTTGGTATGTGTTCACTTTGAGGGGAGGAAGGAATATTTCATGCTCACTGTATGGGAAGGTGACTTTTATGGTAGGTTTGGCGAGCAAGGGCATGATAAAAGTAAATACTTAGCAGTGCTGATGAAAGCTACATGCTTGCAAGCCAACAACAAAGGCAGATAGATATATTGCTCTGGCAGATACAATGAGGTCAGATAGGTTGAGGTAGATAAATGAACTGTATACACCTGTGCCCAACAGATGGACTGATTGTCCAGGTGAGGGTGGTGCAGAAAGGACTGTGAATTGAGGTAGGAAAGAAGTATCACAGATGGCTTCCCACAGAGCATTGAAGCCAGTTTTGCCTTAAACAGCAGTGGAGGTCTCAGTGGAGATCTGTGGCATTCTGACACTGGTTGGCAAGATGTACCTTATGGCGCTGTGGAAAAGCAGGTCAGTTCCAGGCATAAGAACCCATCCTTCAGCTATAGACAGCACTTTGCTCTTTCCTTGAGGGATCCAGACGTCTTTGAGTTGGAGTATGTGGTAGAAAATGACATCTCCCTCTTTGAAGGCTTTGATAAAGTTTCAGGGCAAAAATGGATGTCTGACATGTCTCAGCGAATTCTTAGTAGCAATGGACAGTTGGACTAAGGCTCAGCTGCAAGTATCTTTGTGCACTGAAGGGAAACAACAGTACATAGGAAAAGTTGGAACAAGTTTTAATGAAAATGAAAAGTGCTGGCCCTTTCAGGGAGGAGTGACGGCTTTGAGAGGGCCCTGCAAGAGGCAGATTCAGTGTTTGAAGAGTCGCTGCATCTGGAACAGAAGGGTGACTGTGCTGCAGCTTTGGCTCTGTGTAACGAAGCTATCTGTAAGTAACTCTAACTGCTATGGCTAAGGCACTTCTAACTAACCTCACAAATATGTTATTAGTGTCATCACTCAGATGGGATAAAAACAGCTTTATGTATCACTATCCCAAACTGAGGCTCTTTAGTTATCTTTGCCCTTCATATTTCTAAGAATGACATGTGCGATCACTATGGCCTACATATATTTACTGGAATAACCTCAGCAGGAGTCCACAGATGAACTGTCCAGTCACACCTACCTTCTTATCCCAAGATAAAGTTAGACCTCAGATGTGAGGTTCATCTGACCTTTCTCTAGCCACTGGCTAGTGAGGTAGAGCTTATGGAAGGAAGAAATGAATAAATTGGCTGTGACTTCCCAGGCCTGTGGCTTTGCATATTTGATTCTTTGTTTCTTTCCTGCCTTCCTGGTATGCTACACCATAAGGTTATGGCAAGGGACTATGGCTTAAAATTCATATCTGATTCTTAAAAGTGACCCACAAGAAACTGTGTTCTATAAAGACAAATGCAGATTTGGATCTTATTTCTGCTATTGGCTGTTGGGAAGGAGGAGTTGGAAACAGAATGTGGAGACCAGAGTTGGACAGGTCAGTTGCAAAGGACAACGACAGTGACACCCTCTAAGAAGGAAGCACCAGTTTACCTTTCTGACTCATTTTAGTTTAGCTTTTTGTTGTTGTTTTTTTTATTTGAATTAACTTGTTTGGCCTCCATGGCTTCCATGAATGTTCCTTAAAACCAGAGCCAGCTCTGTGCCCTGGGCAGTATGTGCATGGTCCATGCCTTGCATTCCTGCTGCATATTTTGAGTTCTACTGCATATCTTTGCTCATTTTTGGTTCACTTTTATTCTTTTTATTTTTGTTTGTATTTTATGTTCTGTTTCTGCTATATTTTCTTTTGCATTTTAGCTAAACTAAGACTTGCCCTGCATGGTGTCAGCTCTAGCACGCACAGCAGAGCCCTAGTCGATAAGAAGTTGCAAATCAGTATTCGAAAAGCACGGAGCCTGCAGGATCGCATGCAGCAGCAATCATCGCAGCAGCAGCAGCCGCCGTTGCAGCCCTCAGCTTGCCCCCCCTCACAGGGGGAGGCCCTCCCTCAGCCAATAAGGTAGTGCCTGGGAACTACTGCAGTTTATGGACACCAGGGGAGGAGGTGACCGTGGGTGCTCCATAGCAGGGAGCTCTCATTGTCTTGGAGACTACAGGGGAGAGAGAAGAACCCTTTGAAAAGATTGCCTTCCTTCAGGTCAGACACATGGTGAAAAGCTTATCCCACTACTGGTCCTTTTCTTAATAATTCCTAGAAAGATGTGAAAGTATAGCATAATAAGTAGACCACTTGTCCATATTTTCTGTGTGTAAGTTTGTCTCTGGACTTGTATAATAACCTGATTTTTAAATTTATACATACTGTGTTCTTAGACATGGCAGTCTTGAGCTGCATTTCATGCTGCAGTAGAAAACATATGGTCTATTTTGAAATTTCAGTGCTTTCTGTCCCTCAGAGAAGCAGAGAAGGCAGTCTTCCTGCTCTAATTGAACCAAAGAGAAGAGACACTGAAATTGCCTTTCTTTTGCTTCCCTATGGTCAAGGCTAGGAAAAAGTCCCTGTGGCCACTGATGTAGTTCCCACACTTTAGCCCTTGAATTTGGCTGTTAAAATTAGGATAGAGTTAAGTAAAAATTAATTTTGACTGTAAATAAGCCTGAGTAATTTTCAGAGTATAAATATTATTAACGCAACTAACAGTTTTTGAACATTTGCCTATGCCCAGGCACTAAGCAAAACACTAAGCAAAATAACTTTAGGAGACAGGACTATTGTTTAGCAATAGTTTATAAGTAAGGAAACTCAAGCTTAAAGAGGATAAAATACGTACGGTACTGAGGATTACTCAGCTAGTAAGTGGTAGAAGCATGGAATTCAAATTCAGGTCTGTTTGACTCCTTTTGGCTTCTCATATATTTTTCATAATGATGTAAGTGTGACTGGGTGATTACATTCACAAAAGGCTACAGTATATTATCATTCAAATTTAATGCTCATAGCTATGATCTTTTTCTTTTCTCCTACTGTATATTCGACTAGTTGAATGCTGAACTGATAATCTAATCAGATATGTTTTAAATATAAGCAATTTAGGCAACTAAATTCTTTCCAGAAAATTTATGCCACTTGATATATGTAGGTGATTGTTTTATTTAAGTGCTTCTAACCCTGAGTTTCTTAGCAAAAATACAAAACAATTACTGAGAAACTAACTAAATACAGTTAATCCCTACACCTACATCTCAAGAGTCACACTACATTAATTTGGGGAAACTAATATCAATAAGTGATACAATCAAATCCAGATTATGGATACATACTTGAAATGGTTGATTTCTGTGTCATTCTATGAGTCCAAATCACTCTGTACACTGTAAAGGTGGCCTTTTGGCTCTCTTGGCTGGTGTGCCTCTCAGGACCCCAGAGTTGTTTCCAAGGTTTGCTTACTTCCCATGTCATCTGCATGTGGGACTAGCAATTTTTGTTTTTTAATTTGCAAGTAGAATATGATTGGAATGGGCTTTCACAAGTAGTGAGGAATATTGGAAGGACTTTACTTAACATTACGGTATGCAGCTTTGATGAGGGCATTTAATAATGAGGATTAATATTACCTACTACCTGGGTGTGAGTGGACCATGTGCCTTCTCTTCTCTTCCACCTGTGCTTGTCTTTCCATTTATTTTTACTGTTCCCTCTGTGGGTAGCTAGAAATGAGAAATGAATGAAGAATTCGTTTTGTAAGTGATCTCGTCAATCAAGGCAGCTTATGACTGGCTTTCTCCATTTATTTCAGTGAACAACCTATCTCGCTCCAAGTATTACTAAGCCGGGAGGCCCAGCTGGAACCCTGCACGAATACAAAGTTTGGGGCCAGTTCTTTTGTCCATTCACCTGCTTCCTGCCATGAGTCACACTCATCACTCTTCCCAGAGTCATCTGCCCTGTCTGCTCCACAGCACAATCCCCCTAACAGGTCTGCCTTGAACCTTCTGACTTCAGTTGAGGTGGACAGCACTGACCCCTCTGCGTTCCACAGGCAGGGCTTACCTAAAACACCAGGGAGGACTGAGAATGCTCATCATGGTTGGAAACTCTTAGATGTACCAGAGAGTAAGCTGCAAAGCTCCTGGGGTGACAACAGCTGCACCAAGTTCCCCCTACAAGAAGGAAGAGGCATTGATCAAGAACAGCTATTCCAAGAAAAGAGGGATCCTGCTGAGTCATTCCAGGTGATGCTTTGGTCACACCCACCTGGAATAGCCACATCTGAGAAAGGAGATGCACACAGCCTAGGCTGCAGTCCTTCAAGTTTATCAATTCAGCCCAGCCTTCCCCTGTACAGGGCCTGCCACCCCATAATGCCTGTTGCTTCCTTGACTCTGCATCACTCTCCTGATACTGTACAGAAAACTAGCAAATGCCTCCAAACCAAAAGTCTCAAAACTTTGACTTCAAAAGTGGACAGAGGCAGTGAAGATCCCCATAGACCAGAGTTTCCCAGCACAAAGGGGCTTGTCCGCTCTCTAGCAGAGCAGTTCCAGAGAATGCAGGTTGCTCCCACAAGGGATGATACAAGTTCCCAGAATAGAAGTCTGCCAAATAATCTAAGGAAGAACTCTTCTCCTTCCGATTGTAAGCCTCCTTTTTCACAGAGTCAAGGGAAAGGCCTCTGGCTTTGGGAAAAACAGCAAATCTTTTTGGATGATAGGGACAGACTGCCTTCCTGGGAAGAGCCTGCTAATTATCCTTGTCTTGACATGCATGCTGGGCTGCCTAATGGTGAAACCTCTAGAGGAAGACAGCCCAGGTTGGCAGAGCCAGGTATGTACCAAGGGAAGGCATCTCAAGTGAGAGATGCTAGGCCCAAAGAGCTGGGCACCAGTATCGACTTGGGGACTTCCTTGCCTTTGGATTCCTGGGTGAATGTCACAAGGCTCTTTGATTCTCAGCTTAATAATCATGGGGTCCCTAGGGTAAGAATGAAGTCCTCCTCCCATGATTCCCACACCTGTGTAGCATACCCAGAAAGAAACCACATCCTTTTGCATCCACATTGGAACCAAGACACAGAGAAGGAGGCCTCAGAATTGGAGTCTTTCTACCAGGCCAGTCTTCAGGCTTCTCAAGCTGGCTGTTCTGGATGGGGGCAGCAGGATGTGGCGTGGCACCCACTTAGCCAAACAGGTAAGAATGCAACTAGGGGCAGGGGAAGAAGGTATAAAAGCTAGAAGCAAGAGGACAAGATCAGAAAAGAGGTAGTGTTCTGTCCAAATAATATCCCCAGCTTAGCGGGTAGTGGTAGAACTTCTGACGACTAATAAATACTTTAGGACAAGGGCTAGATAGTTTTCTGGCTAAAGTGAAGAATGGGGACAGAATCATCACTTGTGGCCCAGTTTCCTCCTTTTAAAGAAAGAGACCAATGAGTATACACCCAGGGCTTCTGTGGTGTACAATGCTAAGAAATGGTTCATAGGTCTTTTTTTTTTTTAGATAATTATTTTTTATTGAAGGGTAGTTGACACACAGTATTACATTAGTTTCAGGTGTACAACACAGTGATTCAACATTTATATACATGATAATTCTAGGTACTAGCTATCACCATACCAAGTTGTTACAATATTTTGACTATATTCCTTATACTATACATTACATCCCGGTTACTTATTTATTTTACAATTGGAAGTGTGTACTTTTTTTTTGTGTGTGTGTGTGAGGGCATCTCTCCTATTTATTGATCAAATGGTTGTTAACAATAAAATTCTGTATAGGAGAGTCAATGCTCAATGCACAATCATTAATCCACCCCAAGCCTAATTTTTGTCAGTCTCCAATCTTCTGAAGCATAACGAACAAGTTCTTACATGGAGAACAAATTCTTACATAGTGAATAAGTTACATGGTGAACAGTACAAGGGCAGTCATCACAGAAACTTTCGGTTTTGATCATGCATTATGAACTATAAACAATCAGTTCAAATATGAATATTCATTTGATTTTTATACTTGATTTATATGTGGATACCACATTTCTCTCTTTATTATTATTATTTTTAATAAAATGCTGAAGTGGTAGGTAGATGCAAGATAAAGGTAGAAAACATAGTTTAGTGTTGTAAGAGAGCAAATGTAGATGATCAGGTGTGTGCCTGTAGACTATGTGTTAATCCAAGCTAGACAAGGGCAATAAAACATCCATGGATGCAGCAGATTTCTCTCAGAACAGGGGGGGAGAGGTTCTAAGCCTCACCTCTGTTGATCCCCAATTTCTCACCTGATGGCCCCCCTGCGACTGTGCCTGTCTTCGGTTGTTCCTCCCTTAAGGAATCTTACCCGTCTCTGGCTAACCAGTCATCTTCCGGGGCCAGACAGGGAAATATAAAGTTGGTTAAGTGAGAGAGAAGCCTTATTGTTTGAAAAGGTTAGTTTTTTACTTCTTTGTCATAGGTCTTTGAGAATAACTCAGCAGGAGGTGGGGGAGGCTGAGAGGAAGATATAGTCTTCTGTGGTTTAGGAGCTGAACTAAACCAAGATCCAGCTTCCAGATCCAACTAGCTACAAGGATGTCCACATTTAGTGAAGTTTCCAAGTGGCTTTTCCATATCACAATGGATTAGCACTATCAAGCCTTTCCCTGATCCCTTCAGGAGCTGCCAGGTTTAGAATTTTCAAAGTAGTATGCCTGTAGGGTACCTGACGTTCCCTGAGATTATATTGTGTTAAGAATAAAGTCTGTACCTTAAATGTACATCACAGACTTAGTTCTGGAAGTAGAAGACATGAAGGATATTTATATCTTAGTTTGATACATTTAGGAATTCCAAAGTCTGAACTGTGTTCCTGGCTCCATCATTAACTGTCACTATAAATTTGGACAAGTCCCTTAATATCCCAGGGCCAGTTTTTACCTGTAAAATGAGGGTATTGGTTTATGGATTTTTTAAAGATACTTTCCAACTCTTAAAGTGGTATGTATGATTCTGTGAAATACCCAGAGAATTTTAACTTCAGCTTGGGTATGACAATTTCCATGATGGTACAGGTTCCTTGCATGCTGCCAACAATTGTCTAATTACAGCCAAACAAAAGTTTATTGAATATCTACTATGTTCCCAGGAGCTGTGGGAGGAATATCACATACATATAAGATTTGATTTTAAGATACATTTTTTAAGATCTGCATCCTAGTATAGACTTTTAAATAACATTTATTAAGTGCTTCTTAGATACATAGGACAGGGCAGTATGGTAAGATTATAAAGAATGAGGAAAAGCTGAAGTCTGCCTCAAATGGCTTCCTGTCCAATATAAGGGAGAAAGATACATAAATGTCAAGTGTTTGAAGACTAATAAACAAATATTAAAGAATACACTGTGATTAGAATTAAACTAACTTAATGTCAAATATTTAAATGCCCTTGTATTAACCAAAATAAATTTTCAATTGTTGATAGTTTTGAAAATATATAAAGTAACAAAAATCACTGATAATCCCATTCTCAGTAATTTCATGAGTTTACTTCTTGCTTTGTTTTTTATGCATATATACTACATATTTGTTTGGTTTTGTTTTTACAGAAAGTAGGATCATTACAATATGTGTTTACAGTTCTGTCATTTTCTTACATTACACCCATGAGTATTTTCCCTTTGAAAAAAACTACCTTTAATGACTAAAATATAATGCATATGAACATACTATAATATGGGCAACCATTCTACTATGGTTGGATAGGTTACTTCCATTTTTACAGTAATGGGCACTGTGATGATTTATACTTAAATGTTTAGCCATACTTCTGATAGCTCCTTAGAGTAAACTTTTAGAAGGGTAATAACAATTAAAGACTATAAAATTTTTAAAATCTCTTGATACATACTGGTAAATTAGCCTCCAGGAAAGTTTTATTTCTAAAAACAATATGGTAGAGTACCTGCCAACATTTATTTATTACTTATTAGTGAACAAAAACTAATTTAAAAGATCCATATAATGAGTAAGTTCTTAAAACTTTGTCACATCAAACTAGCCTTTATTTTTGCTAGAATCTGTTTTAAATTGAGTCTTTAAGAACTGACATGACAGAATAAAAAAAAGTGATCAGGTGAAATAAATCAGGAAGTAGATAATGCAGGAAAATGCCAATTAGGATCCATATATGACAATGTATCTTTGGGGGAGTCCTTCTTTATCTTATTGTGAAGCAATTTGTTAAGTGCCCAATTACTTTTTTCTCCAGCTTTATTGATATAATTGACAAATAACAGTGTGTAGGTTTAAGGTATATAATGTGATGGTTTGATACATGACTACATTGACAAGTGATTAGCATTATAAGGTTAGTTAACATAACCATCACCATCCATAATTACTTTTTTTGTGTGTGTATATGGTTAAGAGCATTTAAGATCTACTCTCTTTTAGCAACTTTAAGATGTCTATCTAATACAATATTGTTAATTATAGTCACAGTGCTGTTCATTAGAGCCCCAGAACTTATTCATCTTATAACTGGAAGTTTGTACCCTTAGACCGTTTGCATTTCCCCCCATCCCCCAGGCCCTGGCAACTACCATTCTAGTCTCTGTTTCTATGAGTTTGGCTTTTCATACATTGCACATCCAAAGAGATCATACAGTATTTTTCTCTGACTTATTACTTTAAAAAATAATAAAAGCTGTATTGATATATAGTTTATATACTGTACAATTCACCTAATCAAAGTGTACAATTCAATGTTTTTAAACTATATTCACAGAATTGTCCATCCATAATCAGTTTTCAAATGTTTTCATCCCCCCAAAAAAGAAACCTTGCACCCCTTAATAGTCACTCCATTTCCCCTTTCACCTCTCTCCCCAGCCCCAAGCAACCTCCTATCTATTTTCTGTCTAAAAATTTGCCTGTTTTGGACATTTCATATAAATGGAATCATATAGTATATGGTATTTGTGACCAGATTAATTCTGACATGACTATAGATCTAAAGAGTTATGTAAACACTGCCCTCGACCTATATTCTAAATGTCATAGTATTTAAAATTAGGCAGACATCATCTTAAAAATAAAAAACAACTTTTTTATGGAAAATTTCAAATACATTTAAAAGTAAAGAATAAGAGTAAATGTTGTAATAGCCCCCTCTGTACTTATCACTGGTTTCCATCATGATTATCTTGGCCAATTATCAACATACAACCTGTTTTGATTTAGCTATAACCTACCTTCCACTTGCCTTTCTCCACTGGATTATTTTAAAGCAAATTCTAGACATTGTATCATTTCATCTATAAATAGTTTGGAATGTATCTCTAAGAAATAAGGACTCTTTCTTTTTAAAGGCAGAACTATAATATCATTATGCCTAAAGAATTAACAGCAATTTCTTAATATAATACAGTAACTAGCCAGTATTCAAATGTTCTCAGTTGCCCCATAGATGTCTTTTCACTGTTGGTTTATTTCGAATGAGAGTCCAAACAAGATTCACGCATTACTTTTCTTTTTTTTATTAAGGTATCACTGATATACACTCTTATGAAGATTTCACAAGAAAAACAATGTGGTTACTACATTCACCCATATTATCGAGTCCCCCCCTTACCCCACTGCAGTCACTGTCCATCAGTGTAGTAAGATGCCACAGAGTCACTACTAGTCTTCTCTCTGCTACACTGTCTTCCCCATGATCTCCCCCACACCATGTGTGCCAGTCGTAATACCCCTCAAACCCCTTCTGCCTCCCTCCCCACCTGCCCTCCCCCACCACTCCCCTTTGGTAACCACAAGTCCCTTTCTGGAGTCTGAGTCTGCTGCTATTTTAGTCCTTCAGTTTTGCTTCGTTGTTACATTCCACAAATGAGGGAAATCATTTGCTACTTGTCTTTCTCCACCTGGCTTGTTTCACTGAGCATAATATTTCCAGCTCTATGCATGTTGTTGCAAATGGTAGGATTTGTTTCTTTCTTATGGATGAACAGTATTCCATTGTGTATATGTACTACATCTTCTTTATACATTCATCTAATGATGGACACTGAGGTTGCTTCCATATCTTGGCTATTGTAAATAGTGCTGCAATAAACATAGGGGTGCATATGTCTTTTTGAATCTGATAAATTATATTCTTTGGGTAAATTCCTTAGAGTGGGATTCCTGCATAAAATGGTATTTCTATTTT